AAACCTATATAGATATAGATATGTGATTGCCCGGAAATTAACTACAACTCAGATAATAAGAAATATGGAGCACTATGACCATGAACAAAGTTACTCTGAGAACGTCTATCCATGCTTGATAAGATTAAGCTGCCGGAAAGATGTGTTTCATTTTTGCTGTATAAAAGAAGCAGGGAAGAAATAAAGGTGCTGCTTATTCTCTACTGGATGTGTGCGTGTGCGTGTGTCTTTCTTTATGCATCTCTGCTGTGCCAGGAATTACAGATTGTCAGCGGGTTCTGACACCTACTTCAACTAGTTTTACCAGTCCCAGGGACTATTACAAGGAAAACAGTGGGAGCTATATCAAGAATCTGTGAAAATATCGAGGGTATCATCTTTTTACATGTTTCAATCTCTTCTCTTAGATTTATCTCTTTAGTTAATGCCTCAGACTTCTCTTTAAATCCCTCAATAAGCAGTTCTTCTTGGACCTATAAAAGAGGAAGAGTCCACTTTTGAGAATCCTTGGTTATTAACTGCCAGAGTTCTGGATTTAAGAAGTTCAGCAGTTAAGCACGTGTGTCTATTTCTCTACTCCTTAGACTAATCTTTGGTATTTCCAGACCTTTGACCTGAAGAGGGGGAGTACCCAGGGCACACTTGTGAGATTTCCTCACACTCACTGGAGGTGGAGAGGAATTTTACTCCAGCACAAAGGATGCTGTGTGGGGGAGAATGAGGTTGAATTCTGATTGATTCTCAGATCCACCAAGGTGGCATAGCTGTGATCCTCTAACAAGTCATGGGAAATGCTGCCCTTGTACAGAACACTGGTCATCAAGCTCCTGGTTTTGACACAGGTTTGTTTTATTCTACTTGTATAGATTTACCAGGAAGACACGGAAGCAAGTGGAGTAATTTCTGATCTTTCACTGTCCTAATTTTGTAAACTGATGCATACAGACCAGAAGGATCTGTTTCAGGTCTCTTGGATGGTTGTGCCAGAATCCTCCTCAATTGGGGCACATAATCTCAACAAAGAGTAAGCCACCACCTGGGGGTTATTATCTGTACTCTCCAAAGTCTATTATCTGTATCCTCCAAATATACAAAGTGCTGGAGTCTCAGATTTATAGGCTTCATTAGGATCCTGGTGCACTTGAGGTGTCTGTGTCAGTGAAACATTTACCTTCTGAGTGTCTCTTTGGAATGCTGTCTGTATCGAACATTTTGTCCCATCCCATTCTGAGTAAACAGGCACTGTCTGACAGGTTCCTGCCAGGCCCTGTAGAGACTGGCCTTCAGCTTGTGATCCAGCACCCTTTCCTGCTCTCTCAGAATGTTCTCCCTTTCTCTCTCCATCTTCTCCTTAAGCTGTTCCATATTTTTCTGGAAGCTTCTCTCTTGGGCCTTCATCCTTTCCTGCTGCTCTTTCTCTGCTGTCTTAGAAGCTCCGGTTCCTTCTCAGCTGCCTCCTTCTTGGCCCGCACAAAGATTTTAGAAGAGAGAAGAAACAACAGGTTTGCATTCTAGCCTCCTAGGTTAGCACACCAAGGTGATTTCAGAACAGGCAAGAGGGGAATCTCTCAATTTGCCCAATAGCCACAACAGCAAGAGTATGTTTGCAAATGTGATTGAAAACTATTTGCTGGACTCCCCTCTTGCTCTCAGATTTAGCAGAGCCTGTGCTCAATAGCAGGAAGAAGCTTCTGGTTTCAGGAAGGTTGTCTTGCCCAGTAGTCAAGTTCTGTGCAGGAACCTTCCCTTCCTCTGAAAGCTATGATCTCCCCTATACCTCTTATGGCCTTCTGTCCATCAGTGAGGGCTTTATCTGACTGCAGAATGGATTTTTCTGTGGCAGAAGTGGATGTAGGAAGTTCTGAAGGACCTCCTTTGCCTGGGGAACCAAGAACAAACAAAAACACTTTAGGTATCAAAGATCTGGTCTTCAGATGAGGATGGTATTATTCCATAAAACCATAAAACTAACTTTAAAATTTGCATCCTTCATAGTTATGATCCCATAGAGATTTCTTTCCTTCTGTGTAACAATGGAAGTTCATGCTCTTTGCTGGGACATGAAAACCTTGTATAGCAGCTCTATCCTACCTTTGCAGCCTCTTCTCTCATGAATGCTCCCCACCTGCCACCTCAGGTTGCAGCCCTGGTCAGATGAAGGAGCAGGTCTAGAAATATATCCTGTCCTTTGTTTGTGGTATGTGCACATCCTTTTTCTCTATCTCATCTAGGGTTTCTTAACTAGGATCACATCTACAGTTTCCTTGACTGGTATCTCCCAACCTATACCATGAAACTTTTCTAGGCTGACTTCTGAGTTTCTTTTCATCTTTGTTGAGATTAACAAATAAAAATTGTACACATTGCAGGTGTACAACATGATGTTTAGTATATGTCTGCATTGATATATGGTTCCTACAATCAAGCCAATTTTCATATTGATTACATCACAGTTACATTCTTCTATATTCATGAGAATGACGAGGTCTACTCTTAGTAACATTCAGGTACACAACAGATTATTTTGTCTACAGTCACATTTGTACATCAGGTGGGCAGGGCTTACTCATCTATAGATGTATGTTATGGTGCCACTGAATGTGAACTATAGAGCATTTGTCTTTCTGTGTCTGGCTCATTTCCTTTAGTGCAATATTCTTAGGGTAATCCATGTTGTTATCATTGGTAGGGCTTTTTTTTTAAAGACTGAATAATATTCTGTCACATATATGACATATATAATTGTATTATTTAGTAATCACAACTGCATGGTACTGGCATAAAAATCAACACAAACTCCAATAGAACAGAATAAAGAGGTAGGAAAGAATGGAATTGGACCACTGTCTTACACCTTATATGAAAACAAACTAGTATACTAATTTTGTGAGATGTGTTAAGCTTCAACAAGTCCTCAGATATGAAAACTTTAAGAAAAATGCATTTCTGTGTGTGGCACGAATGCCTGCTTCTCCACATTTCTTACAAAAGCAAACAGAATTACTGACAAACTCATAAAAGAATTACAGTGTTATCATACATACTGAACCCCCCAGAGACACGCACTGGGACAATAGAAACTCACGATTTCCAGTGACAATGATTCCCCCTCTCAGGGTCTTGGTCTTTGCATTGGTGAAGACATAGGAACAGAAATTTTTTGATTGCACATGAAAATTTCTTTCTAGCTGGTTTTGTGGAACTTTATCAATGTGATAAAGGCTTCTGTCACTCTTAGGCAAGTCAAAGACAAAGCACTTTCGTTTTGGAAAGAAACATCTGATACACTCTCTAGACCTGTTGGAATTTTGGATGTTCTCACTCTTTCCTGTAAAAAGAACACTCATTGAGTAGACAAGCCTGTAGGAAAAGGGATTGAGGACTTTTCTAAGAATCCTTGCCTAACTGCAGCTCCCAAGCCACTGATCTTCCTTCATTCAATCATAAAAAAGCAGTGTTAAGTTAACTTGAACATCAATATTTTTCTTTTTTTGGGTCAAAACTGAGAGTCAAGAAAGTACTTTTGGAGAGGAAGGGGAGACAGATACTCATCATGGGTGGAGAAACCTATAAATTGTCTCCTTACCCTTTGCATCATGGCAGATAAATTAATTATTAAAAGATTGAAACGACTGATTAATCACAAAAATTATCAGAAAGACTTTTCTGATATTGCAGTCCCATGTCATAAATAAGATGTGGGCTCTTCACTAAAGTAATACTAGAAATAAGGACAAGATGTTGCTGGGAAAAGTAACATGAAGAGGACAGATGATACCCAGAACTGTAGAGAAAATGCTTCAAAATCAAAGCCCCAAATTCACACACAATAATTATGTCTAGAATTTCCTTCCACAGAAAACTCCAAAGTAAAGTGAATTTCAATGTGATGTGTACTTCTTGATGTCGTATTATTTTGGATTTGACTTTGTCTCACAGAGATTCTGTGGCATAAATCAGCTGTGCAAAATAAATGTTAATTCAAAGAATTTATAAATAGTACTTATCTACTCTGCTAAGTAGTAACATGACACCATGTAAGTTTGTGGGATAAATAAGGTGATATTGTCAAAAAGGTAAAATGAAGACTTAGACAGTATCACTGGGTTCCCCCACCCCATGAACGATTTATTATACAAACATCTTTTCTCTGAAGAATGTTACTATATACTTTGGAATAATGAGTGAAATATCTTTTAAAGTAGGTCCTTACATTTCCTGTGATTCTAGGTTTACTTATTTCTAGGTTGATAAATTATTTTCCTCAAAATACAAGGAGCAGTTAGACTTCATAAGTAACAAATATATGAGCCTTAAAAGTGATGGCATTGATTGTACTCCTCACAATTTTTCATGGTACTGATTGTTCTAAAATTATTGGGTACAACATTGAGCCCTAAATTTCCTTAGTAAATCTAAATCTTAGCCTCTGAAGATTATTATAAAATAAATATGAAAATCATGGACCCCTGTCAATCATCATCAGCATTAACAAGAGCCTCAAATCCAGTCTCAAATAAACAGTTATATTGAGCACTGACAGACAGGGCTTAGTTGATCCCACCTCCTAATTGAAACTCCCCGCACCAAGGTTACCCTTGGATACCTTTAATCATCTTCAAGGCGTTCTCCAGGTACTCATCTTCTGTGATGGGGTGTCCACCCAACTTCAGTTCCGGTGTGAAATCTCAAACAGTCCAAACAAAGTCTGGAAAGAAACTTACAAACTCAGAGGAGTCCTCTACTTCATCTCGTGTGGGGTCAGATTTTGCCCTGATTAGTTGCATTAGTTCAGTCACATAGCTGGGATCTTAGCTAAGGAATGAGAAACAATTTCCAGATCACTTAGCAATAAGTTTTATGTACATTCCTTTTTTTTCCCCAGGGTCCACTCTTACTCAACCAAGACAATCAAGTTAGAAGAGAGAAGGAACAGTCTCAGTTGCTATTCTCTTAACCTCCCTCGATAAGACATGATTGTTTGGTTCTTGGAAGGATACTGTAGCTGCTCCAGGGCATGGTCGTTGATAGTGCCCATGCTATTGTAGACAAAGGTGCTGCTAAGAAGCACTGCCAGGACAAAGATGCAGGAGTCATTCTTAGGGTCACCCTAGGAAGCACACGAGAAAAGGACTTACAAGTCCACTCTTCATTCATTCATTCATTTAAAGTTATTCTGTTATAGTTAAAGTTTCGTCCCTGGGTTTCATAAACTGACTTCAGACCACTCACATATAATCAAATCAAGCCTTTATTGAAGCATACCAGTGGCGGCTGACCAGAACATAAAGCTGTTCCCCTGATCAGCCCCGAACAATTGCAAGGACACTCCTTATAAGCCTGAAAACCGCAAAAGGGATGTTCAGGGGGGTCTAGCCAATGCAAGCAAGCCAGGTTACAGAAGCAGGACAGTGCAGTCAAGCAGAGGGAAGCCTAACCAATCACAGTTAGCCCAGTCACCCCAGTTACAGAAACAGAGCCCCGTTACCCTAGTTACAGAAACAATACCCCATTAGGTAGTTCCGTGTTCTTAAAGGTTTCTATAGCAAAAGGAAAAGAACATCTTGCTCCAGTCATGACTCTTTTACTTGGCATGGTTGTTTTACAGGATGAAGTCATAAAACAAAATGGAGTCACATTTGCTCCTACTATCACAATTCATTCTTTCTTTTAGCTGTACTCTTTCTGAATATAGGTAAAATAACAAAATTTTAAGATAATGCTAAATTTAAATCCCATTATTGATATTTATATTTGTCGCTCTCAGAATATTAGTTTGTGTAGCTATGAAGACAAATGAAAGTCATTCTCAAGGTGCATAAAATAGTTAATAAAATACCTAAGACATAGTAAGTGTCTCATAATAACTGGGCAATAACTCCCGACAAATTTCATCTTCATCATGGCTGTAGTGAGGATGTAATTCACATTTCAATTAAGTTGAACAACACTTTTTTTGACATCTGACAAAATGCCACACCCTGCATTTGGTTTTGTAGATACAAAGTTCTGACAGTCTCTGCTCACAGGAACATCACTTTATAGAGGCGCAGATATACGTTACACATATAAACACAGACCAAATGATAATCTGTCAGGAGAGGGAACCAAAATTATTTTAAAGAAAGGAGGGGCAGGGAGAAAGAAAGGAAGGAAGGAAGGAAGGAAGGAAGGAAGGAAGGAATAAAAGAAACGTGGGGTGGGGAGGTCCATGAATGTGAATAATTGCTCTGAGAATTCAGAACAAGAAGTCATTAGCTGAGTTTTGAAGAGCTGATAGAATATGGAATTGTGGAATTTGCAGGGGTCCAGCAAGTGGAAGGACCAGCAGCAGCAAGCCTCAGTTGTTAGAGCACAGGGTTCTTTTATTTCACTGAAGCAGTGAGTGTGCAGGCCAGAGTGAAAACAGAGACCTAAATGAGATTAATGGCAAGACTTAAAAGGCTTTGAAATAGGTCCAGATGCTACTCAAATCCCGTTACCAGTTGTATAGTAGTTCTGCTGCCATTGGCTTATGTTCTGTTTTTTGTTGTGGGAATTCTGTGTTTGGGATTGGAGTCTACAAACTTTGTTATGGTGGCATGCTGGTGACCAGGAAGTTCCTGTACAAAGACACAGAATGCCTGGCTGCTAGGAGATACCTAGCTACTGGAAAACTCCTGTGCAAAAGTACAGGATGCCTGGCTGACAAAGCATTGTCCTTCACAAGTTTACCCTGTTTCCCAGAACTGGGATGCCCAGCCTCCTCCCTCTGAGGTAATAAGACAACTATGCAGGCATTATCTGGTCTCCATGGTAATGCCCTTAGAGAAGAAGGGCCCCCTGTTTATTCTAATCTGGACCTTATCTCAGTTAGCTAGCACTCAGGGTTAAAGAAATACTAATTAGAATATAGTCATGGTAAAGGGAGGTATGTGTTTTTTGTTTGAGTTAATAAACCTCCAGGCAGGGAGGAGAGGACACTTCTGCACTTCTTCTTCACCACTTCATTTCACTCCGCTCCATCCTGTCTGGTCGCTTGTACCCTTTGTGTCTGTGTCTGTTCTTTGTGCGCCTCCTCACAGGTATTACTCCACAGGTGATCCTTTACATTTTGTCTCTTGACAATTGCAATTAGATATAAAGAAATGGTTTTATGCAAACCACAACATATTACAAGTCAATCGTCCATACTGGTGTTCTACTGAGAGGATAACTGAGAACGGCAAAACTAAATTTTTAAATTCAGAATTTCTAAGTCTATGCTTTCCTTCCTTGCCCTGCCCCCTTACCAAATGTGCAGTACTGAAGCCAAAGATCTACTGCTGCTACTTTCATAGATTCAGACTAATATAAATTAGGTAAAAAGACTGATTTCTACTAATTGTGTAAAGATTAAACACCTAAAATTTTGCCATTTGCTGTAATTTTATTGGATCTAGCTCATGCTATTAGACAGTGAAAATTTCATGTCCAGAGCTCAGAGACCCAGACTAAAATCTTAATGATGAAGCTGAAATTCTTCTGAAGATTATTTAAATGGATTCCTTCACCAAAAGCCTATTTTCATGGCCTCTACTTTTAACGTTACCAAACCCACTGACTCCACAGATTAGAGCTTTCTTCAGGAAGTTTTCCCTAACTCTCAAGGCTGGATCAGTTTCCCACTTTTTGCATCTTTTCTTTGTAGTGATCTCATTCCATATTTCTTGTCTCTAAAAGGTGATTCTAGGTCTTTATCTTATTGACTGATAGATTTGTAGCACTTAGCACAGAGCCTTGGACTTCAGCTGTTTGGTGTGTACTTATTAAATTAAATTTCACATCTCAGTGTTAAAAATAAGAAGATCTGTTGCCGCAGTCTGGCTGGGCACAATTCAGGAGCCACTTGTCAAAAGAAGCGAACTTTATTTTTAGAACCACACACGCCAAACAAAACAGCTCCTCAGGAAAAACCTTCAGAGCCCAACTGCCACCACCGGCTTCCCACAAGCCTCTCCACCTCCCCGTGGAAACACACAAACAGGCCCCCAACTCCAGACAATCACTGGGTCAGGATCTTGATTAATCTCTCTGGAATCCAAATCGGCTGCTGTTCTCCCTGTGGAAACACACAAACAGACCCCCGACTCCAGACAATTACTAGGTCAGGACCTTTCCATTGTCCTGTTAGAATATCCTTCCAAAGTACCTTGGGCTTATGCACATTTTTTGGACACATATGCCTTTCCGCAGCACTAAGTCCTGATGAATCCAAATTTAAAAAGTTTAGAGTAAAAAGGGTTATTTTAAGTTTATCTTTGGGGAATATATACCCCTTCCCAATCTGTCCTTATTTACCAATGATATTTTTTGCATGTGAGGTGTCCCCGAAAAGCTTATGTGTGAGACAATGCAAAAAGGTTCAGAGGAGAAATGATTGGATTATGAAAGCCTTAACCCAATCAGTGAATCAATGCCCTAAGGGGATTAATTGAGAGGTAACTGAAGGTGGGGAACGTGTACCTGGAGGATGTGGGTCCCTGAGGGCGTACCTTTGGGGTACATATTTTGTATCTGATGAGTAGAGTCTTTTTCTTGATCATCATGTGAGTCATTTCCCTCCACCACATTTTTCAACCATGATTTGCAGCCTTACTTTGATCCCAAAGGGAGCCAGCTATCTATGGACCAAATCCTCTGAAATCATGAATCCCCAAATATACTGTCCCTCCTAAAATAGTTCTTGTCAGGTTTTTTGACAGTACAAAACAAATGACTCAAACAACCAAAGTATTTTAAGTTGTTAGAGAAGTTTGTGGAAATGGAATTTAGCCTCCTTATTCATAATTGGATTGCAAGTACAAGAATATGTCACAGATGTCAGACTGAGGTGACCAATTGAATGGCACATGAATAAAGAGTACAGCACATTCTCTCCCTCACCCTGTCCACATCACCCCGGCCCTCAGTGTCCAGGAGAACCCAGATACAGTTTGGCTTGCTGGGGTGAGGCACACACCACATCCAGATGCTCTTGGTTTCAGTCCTCACTGTGGAACCCAGAGGGAAGCCTGTGAGGGAAGAGAACACAACATAGAGTGACCACTGAGAGGTAAAGCTGCCAGGGGTTACAGTGGATAAATCTGTAGGAACATAAAGTGTTGAGCAAGGTAGTGTTTGCTACTATTTCACAAGGATAAATCAATACAGGTGTTGTCTATCTTTCTCAAAAACACTCTGTGACCCCAATTCGCCTCATTCTTTCGAGTGCTCAAATTCTTTCACATTACAGAATTAGTGTAAACTCTATCAACCAGTATTTTCCTACGTATTTTTATCTGATCAGGAAAAGCTCCAGTGTCCTCTGGCTTCAAGTTGAGTTCAACTAGTTGTTGAACAAGGGAAGTTTTTGTACATGTGCACCAAGATATAAATTTGAGAATATGAGAATATTTATAACTACCTTATTCATTAAAGATAAAACCTGGAAATAATACCACTGCTCATCAACATCAAATGGATAAATAAATTGTGGTATCCTCAGGCATAAGCATACTACAGTGTAAATTCATTTGAAAACAAATGAATTACAGATATGTGTGTTAAACAGAGGATGCACATAAACTTCTTCTTGAGCAAAAGAAGAAAGACACACAAGAATACACATACCATAGTCTGTTTTATATAAAAGTCAAAAGAAGACCAAACTAAGTTATTCTGTAGTATGTATAATAAACTACAGAATCATTATTTAGAAGCAAGAGTAGAGTGTGCCCCGAAAACCAAAAATGTTAATGAGCTTTGATGACAGTGTGAGGATGATTTGGCTTTTGAATGTTGGTAAGGTTTTGTTTCCTGATCTGGATAGTGATTACATAATTATTCACTTTATATTTATTAACTATGTTGTACACTTATGCTTTTTACTCTGTTATAGTTTGCATATTACAAAAGACTAAGTAAAGAAAGTGGCATGCTAATTTATCAAAGATTTGCTATAAATAGAGAAAAATGGACTGGTAGCTCAATTTGGACATTGGATATAGAGAGATCTTACTGTGCATCTTTCTGCCCATCCATTTTTTTTAAAGGACAAAATTAACTATATTTGCATGCTATGTCAAATGGTCATATTGCTTGGACAAAAGGATTCAGATGAGGGAAAGGGAGTGATTGCTAGAGCCCCAGAGAAGGTGAGAGTGGATGGCATCAGGAAGAACAGTGAAGCAGATATTTTGATAAGGTTGAGGAGCTCTTTATTAATGGACAAAGAATGAGATAATTTTGGATAGGTGAGAGGTTATAAATATGCTGGTAAGAATTAGAAATTTTCCTTAGTGGAAGGACCCTAGTGAAAGTGAGATCAGCTTGTCCTATTTGTGGTTCCAAGCAACTTCCCTTGCCCCAGGACCATACTCACCATGATTCTGTCCTGCAAGATGATTCATGAGGTAGGATTTCCCCGTACGATATGCCCCTACAGTGGACACCACCACCACAGGTTGACATATCTTGTCAAGAATTCTCAAGGCTTCTGAATTCATTGTTAGCTGCTCATTCCAGTTTCCCACTAAACAAATGGGGGGCTTCATAGTAGATTCAAATGCCATGGTCACCTGTAACTCTGAAAAGCCACTCAGTGAATCCCAGGATCTTGAAGTCATCTTTGATGGCTATTCGAGGCACATACATGTCAATTCTCTGCTTGTGGAATGTTTACATTAACTTTCTACATTTTGTATGTTTTTAAAGGAAAAACATTATCTAGCATGTTAAGTCCTAGTATAGATGACTTATGTACATTATCTTGTATTTCCTCTAAGGACTCAAAAAATGTTGCCTGCCAAGAGAACAAAATACAAGGAATAAAAATCAAGAAGGAATAAGTCGAATTATCACTGTTTGTAGACAATATGATCCTATACTTAAAAGATCCAAACACTCCATCAAAAGACTGCTAGAGCTAATAAACATTTGGCAAAGTAGCAGGTTACAAAATCTGTACATACAAAAATCAATATATTTCCTATATACAACAATAAATCTGCTGACAAAGAAATCAGGAAAACAATTCCATTCATAATAACCTAAAAAAAGAAGAAAAAGAAAACAAAAACCTACTTTGGAATAAATCTAACCAAGGAGGTGAAAGACCTCTGCAATGAAAACTATTGAACATTGAAGAAAGAAATTGAAGAAGACCTCAGAAGATGAAAAGAACTCCCATGTTCATGAATCAGTGACTTTTAAAATATTAATTATAATAATATAATTTTATATTAATTATAATAATATAATTTTTATATTAATTATAATAATCATAATTAATTAATTATATTAATATTGTGAAAAAATGGCCATATTACCCAAAGTAATATATACATTAAATGCAATCCCCATCAAAATACCAAAGACATTCTACACAGAACTAGGGAAAAAAAAGTCCTAAAATCAATTAAAAAGAATAAAAGAGCCAGAATAGCAGAATAGTCAAAACATTTGTAAGGAAATGAAAAAAAAGAAGCAATTCTGGAGGCATCATAATACCTGACTTAAAATTATATGACAGAGCTATAGTAAAAAAAACTGCATGTTACAAGCATAAAAGCAGCTACATAGAACAATGGTACAGATTAGAAGACACAGAAACAAACACATACTAATACAGTCATCTGTGCCTTGACAGAGTTGCCAAAAACACACCTTGGAAAAAAGAAAGTCTTGTTAACAAACGGTGCTTGGAGAACTGATTACTCATAGGAAGATTGAAACTATACCCTTACCTCTCACCTTTCACAAAAATTGACTAAGAATGCATCAAAGACCTAAGAATAAGACTAAAACCTATGTAACTCCTAGAAGAAACACAGGGTCAACACTTCAGCATATAGACACAAACAATGACGTTCTCAATAGGGCCCCTAAAGCTCAGGAAATAAGGTGAAGTGTTAATTAATGGGATGACATAAAATGTAAAAAAGCTTTTGCCCATAAAAAAAAAAAAAAAAAAAAAAAACAAGAAGGTGAAGAAAAAGGCCTAAAAAATGGGGAAAAAAATCTCTGCTAGCTAAACTTCCAACAGAAGATTAATATCCAAAATATATAAATTAAGAAACAAGCAAATAAATGGACAAATAAACCAAACAGACACTTCTAAAAAGAAGAAATACAAATGGCCAACAAATACACAAAAACATGGTCAACATGATTTTCAGTTAGGGAAATACAAATCAAAGCTACACTGAGATTTCATCTCATACCACTCAGAATGGCAGTCATCAAGAACACAAATGCTAATAAATACTGGAGAGGGTGTGGAGAGGAAAGAACACTTTTACACTGTTGGTGGGACAGTAAATAAGTACAACCTCTGTGGAAATCAGTATCAAGTTTCCTCAAAAGACTAGACATGGAATCACTATATGAGCCAACTATACCACTTCCCAGTATTCACCCTGAAGAATTAAAGTCAACATGCTATAGTGATACACCTATAACCATGTTTATAGCAGCACAATTCACAATAGCCAAACTATGGAACTAGCCTGGGTAACCATCAACAAATGAACGAATAAAGAGAATGTGGTATATGTGCACACTGTAGCTATATTCAGCCATAATCTTGCAGGAAAATGAATAGAACATGAGACCATATGTTAAGCAAAATAAGTCAAACTCAGGAGGTCAAGAAGAGTGCTGGGGAGTTAAATTGACCAAATTATATTATTATATTGTGTGCATGTACAATTATGTGAAAACAAATCCCATCATTATTGACAACTATAATGCACCAATAAAAAAACAATGTGGAGAGAGAGGAAGAACATATTGCCTGAGATTTTTGAGAAGAGATTGAGGAAAGCAAAACACTGATAACAGAGCCCTGAGAATATCAACATTTTGGGGTAAAAGGAGGAAGAATAAAAAATAGTAAGAGATGAGCAATGTTTAGAACTATGATTAGGCATTACAAAAGAATTTCTTCTCATTAAGTCAAATAATATTTTTTGAATCCTTGCCATGTTTTGGATACTGCTCAAGAGATCCATTATCAAAGACTGTACTAAATGAATGTTAATTCCTGTCTCAAGGATCTCTATTCTAGTGGAGAAACAGATAATAAACAAAACAAAATCAACTGTGATCTGATAATGACAAGTTCTCAGAAAAACCTAAGCAGGGAATAAGGTAAGGCCTCCATGAAAATGAGAGAAAATGCAGGTTCTCATGGACTGTGTTGAGGGCAGATATAGGAATAAGTCAGGAGACCACTGAGGACAGGAGTATAGGGAGCACACTTCCCCTCCCTGCTGCCTCTGTAGAGAAGAGAACCTCTAAGCTGGGGGTGGGGGCACAGAACCTTTTGTGACAAATTCCGTGTGACCACTCCCAGTGGCCGTGCATGGTTTTCCTTCACTCTCCAGTGCAATCCCTGAGTGGAGTTTGCATTGGGGAATTCACTGATGTTTTTAGTTGACAAATTCATGGAGAGCCAGTTCCACAGCTCACTCACCTGGCAAGGGCTCAGCACTCAGAGGACAGGTTCTCAGTTGCTAGTGCACCTGGCTCCTCCAAAAATCTACCGTTTTTCTTAGAAGCTGAAAACAAACAGGATATTACAGCTACCCCACCCCCCCAAAAAAAGTGAAGATGAATAGAACTGAAATCGAAACTTCACTCAGTTCTTCCTGGATGAACCATTGAGGTTTCACAGTTTCTGAAGAAGCAGTAAACAGTTTGTGAGATGAGGTGCGGGGTTGTGGGGAAGTTCACATGGCCTAGGAACAGAATCTGAAGTTGCTCAGTCATTTCTCACAGGTCAGCACACATTTCCCCTGCCCAAGAAGCTACCGTTAAATCAGGTGTTGATACAATACCACATTGTGATGGGTTGACTGACGGCATCCCTGAGCATACCATGACACTCATGGGCAATCTGAGTTCCCTAGGAAATGGGTTCACTGACTTGCACAGAGCCTGATGGCAAAGCCCCTTATCTTTCTGCAGACAGTAAGAAGTCCTTGGAGGGTGAAACCTGATGCCCATTGAGGGTATGGACAATGTGCACTGTCTCCAGGTCATCCCCAGAAGCTCCCCTTTACACACTTGCACCATTTTTAAGTGGAAGAACTTTTAAATTTGTGACTCGATAACAGATTTCATTGTTAGAAAATGCTCACTCCAAGCCCTCCCCAGTACCACTGAAAAGGGAAATAAATTGTTTTGGAACCACAGATCTTTCTTTTCATTTTTGGAGGCCAAAGATTTCACAAAATTGAAATTGACACTTTGGTACAGAGATGAACAGAGAGGGTTTGTTCATGGCTTCCATGTGATAGGAGAAAACAGGATCCACACAAGACCTCAGCATCTATGTGTCTGTCCCTAGTGCTTTCCAAGGACTAACACCAGAGCAGAATAAGGGGATTTTTATCCAGTGCTGCTGGATCCCTAAGCCTCTGGGATCTGGACAGCTGCCTACAACAGGAATGCCCCTCCTCTTGCCTTCCTCCCTCTACTTCCTTTCAGAGGTCTGTGGTGAAGCAGTCACCTCCCAGATGGACCAGCAGAGGGCAGCACTTCCACAGCTAGCACCAGGGTGTGTCCCTGCAACAGCAAGTGGCTCCCATGGCTGCCAGCTGAACTCCATGCTCTTCTCTCTCTCTCTGTCTCTCTGTCTCTCTGTCTCTCTCTCTTTCCTGTTTTCAGTAGGCTTTGAGGGAAAGAGAAGTGCACTGGTGGCCTGACATGATCCTGCTTTGATTAGGGAATGAAGATGACTCCTCCATGCCAGTCTATTTTTCCCCCTTTTCTATTTTTTTTTAGTGTTCCCTTTCTTTAAAACACTCATCTGCTGTCAGCTGCCCATTCTGTTCCTGTAGCCTAAGCTGTCATCATCACAATGGTGAGAATTTGTAGACAAAGCAATAATTTCTAGGGCAGCCAGCTGTTGAAGGAGAGCCTGGAAATCTTAAGGAATAAGACTTCTTTTCTTCCAAAGGTAATGAGCTGCTCTCAGTTAGTCCTTGTGCCCCTTCACCAAGTAATTAGTGTGATATACACAATGTTGAATGTCATTAGAATGAGAATGTTTTTATTGGAGTGCTCTGTTTAAATATTATGTATTCTCAATGATCCCATTATCATCTACCTCAATCTTATTTGATAGGTAGCCTGATGGCAAATCAAGTATAGTTAGCCCTTTGACCCCTGATCTTAGTCTTCTACTACTTTAGAGACCATCCTAAATAAGACCAGCGAAACAAGGGTGAGTACCTGGGTCTTCAAGATGTCATTTTGCAACTGACATAAGCAAGGTTCCACAGAGATTAGTCACTTAGTAGAATCCTTGATGAGCCATATTTTTATCAGCTTTTTTGCTGCTGTAAGTAAAATTGACCAGAACAATTTTAGAGGAGGAAGAATTTTTTTGAGGGCTCATAGTTTCAGAGGTCTTAGTCCTTAGAAGGCGACTCCATTTCTTGGGACTCCAGGTGAGGCTGAACATCATGGTGGGAGAGTATGGCAGAGGGAAGTAGCTCACATCATGGTGATCAGGAAGCAGAGAGAGTGTCCATTCACCAGATACAGATGTATACCCCAAAGGCATGCCCCCAATTCCCAC